GAAAAACCTTTACTTTGACCAGGAGGCAGTCATCAGAACAGAACAAGGAAACAATGCATGGTTCAAAATTGGGAAGGGCGTCAAGGATGTGTCCTATCTCCATATCTTTTCAATCTATATACAGAACAGATTATCCGGGAGGCTGGGCTTTGTGAGGAGAAGTGTGGCATCAGGATTGGAGAAAGACTCATCAACAGTCTGCGTTATGCAGATGATACAACCCTGCTTGCTGAAACTGAAGACAACTTGAAGCTCTTGCTGCAGGGATTGAAGCTCAACATCAAGAAAACAAAAATTCTCACCACTGGGCCGATTGACAGCATCAAGAGATTGAGATTGTTGACAGCTTCAGTTTGCTTTGCTCTACAATCAACACTCTTGGTACCGGCAGCCAGGAAATTAAAAGACTGATTGCGTTGGTAAAGTCGGCAGTCAGAGACCTCTCCCAGGTACTGAGGGATGACAATGTCATTCTGGAGCCTAAGGTACTCCTGATCCAGGCCATGGCCTTTGCCATTTACTTGCTTTGCATCAGAGAGCTGGACAATGACTAGGGATGATAGAAGGAGAGTTGATGCCTTTAAGCTTTGAGATAGAGCAGGGTTTAGGGCTATTGTACGTAGAGTCACTATGAGTCACAAGCAACTCGATGGCACATAACAACAACAATAACAACATCCATTAGGCTCAGAAAATGATTTGGGAAGCTTATTCATGGAAGATCTTGCTTGGGCCTGAATCTGCTGACTAATCAAATAATAAACCATCATCAGGCACACACTATACTACCTGGGCTCCTTCACATATGTGCATAATTCCATGTTATTTAGGTCACATGCTATATATGCATATATTTTTCTTTTTTTTTCATTTTTCTTTTATTAGAATTTTTTTGGGTTTTTTTGTTTTATATATATGCATATATTTTTCTAATTGCTGTCTCAGACTCATGGCTATTGCAGGGTGACAGAGTACAACTGCAGCCCATAGGATTCTCATTGACCGTAATAGTACAGAAGTAGATTGCCAGGCCTTTTTTCAGCAGTTCTTTTGGTTAGATTGGAATCATTTACTTTTCACTTACCCAGGGACCTCTATGTAGGTCTTCCTATATATAAATGCATGCACGTATAAAGCATACCTCAGAAATATTGTGGGTGCCATTCCAGACCACCACAATAAAGTAAGTCATGCACATTTCTTGACTTCCAGTGCACATATAGTTATGTTTATAGCATAACCTATGAAGAGCAATGTTCTGTTGTTAGGTGCCATCGAGTCAAGTATGACTCATAGTGACCCAGTGAACAACATATCTGAACCCTATCCTATCCTGTCCTGTGTCATCCTCATCGTCTCTGACACGCTTGAGCCCATTGCTTCAGTTGCTGAGTCAATCAATTGCATTAAAGATCTTCCCCTCTTTCACTGATCCTTTGCCTTTCCAAGCATAGTGTTCCTTTCCAAGAAACAGCCTCTCCTAGAAACATGTCCAAGTACGTGAGACAGAGCTTAGCCTCTGAAGGAGCGCTCTGATTGTACTTTCTCCAAGATGTACTTGTTTGGTCTTTTGCAATATTTTCTTGTTTATGGAATATTCAGTGTTCTTCTCCAACAACATAGCTCAAAGGCATAAATTCTTCTTTTGTCATCCTTATTAATTGTCTGTGTCTAGCTCTCAGATGCATAGCAAGTAATTGAAAAGACTGTGGCCTGAAGCAGACGCACCTTAGTCTTCAAACTAATGACAGAGAACTTACCCAATACGATACTTTTCCTGATCGTCTGCCTGCAGGTACAGAAGGTCTTGATTGGGGATCTAAGTTAGATAAAATCATTGTACAATAATATTAAACAAAAATTTGAAATGCTGTGAAAGTTAGCAAACTGTGACACAGAATATATGCTATTAGTACAATGGTACTGATTAACTTTCTTGGCACAGGATTGCATAGAAAGGTTAAAGAACACACATTGACTGGCACTCACTATCTGGGAAGTTCAAGAAAGCCATCCCAATAGAATGAATTGTACCTGTGTATACATAAAACCCAGCCTATGAGTTGACTTCATGAGGGTAGATTTGCCCCAAAGGCTCTTGTTTTAACCCTAACTCTAACCTTCGTCTCACAGCATAGTAAGTGAGTTCCAGCCTTTGACCTTTAAGGTAATGGCTGAATGCTTTATCCTCCGCACCACCAAGGCCTGGAGATCAGGTGACAGTGTTGTCTGCAAGCAAATTTCAAAAAAGTCCAAACAAAGCCAAATCACGAAGGCTTGTCAGGGACTGGCTTGGCCCACAGCTGGAATCTGTGTGATTTTACAGCCAGATTGTATCACATTCCCAGAATAGCAACAGAAGCAGGACAGAGGAAACAGGGCTCTGGATCTGCTCATCCTTATACTAAACATTCTTTTAAAAGAAACGCAATCTTCTGCTTGTTAATGTTACAAAGGAAAGGAGAAGGAAGGGAAGAAAATAAAAAATAAGCCCACTGTCGTCCAGTCAATTTCAAATTTCTCCTGTAGAGCAGAAAAGGGAACTCTGGTAGCCTAATGTGATAAGGAGTTGTGTTGGCAACCCAGAGGTAAATGGTTCGTATCCACCAGCTGCTCCATAGGAGAAAGATGGGCGGTCTCCTCCCATGTGATTTATTGCCTCTGAAAACCCCATTGAAGGGTCATCTGTGGCTCAGCTCAACTTGATGGTAGACATCAACAAGAAAGAAAGGGAGCTCTGGTCACCTAGTTTGATAGTTTGATTCCACCATCAGCTCCATAGGAGAAAGACAAGCAGTCTCCTCTTGTAAATATTCTGATTTACAGCCTCAGAAACCCAGTAGACAGTCAGCTATGCGTCGGCTCTGACTCCGTGGCAGTAAGTTGAATTTTCTCAGAAGTAGAATGCTTCATTTTTTTCTCCCACCTATTGGCTTGTGGGTTTGAACCACTGACCTGTCCATTACGTGCTGGCCTAATACTTAATTCATTGTGCCATCAGGATTCTGAGATGGAGGGAAAACTCAGACTGCATCCTTGTTCTAAAGAAAAGAACTTGAAAAATCTGGCTTTGCTGTCAAACCTTGAGCATGACGTTTCAGCAAGAGAAATTGAAAAGTACTGGATTTGATCAATGAAAGAAAGAAAAAAAAAAAAAAGGAGAAAGCTGTAACTAGAGGGTGCTTAATGTTTAGCAGAGGAAACCGTTTCACCTGACTGTGCCTGGGCTGTGCTGGGCCTGTGAGCTGGCACCCACAGTTTTGGGGTCCCCAGGGCATCGCGTGACTCAAATGGCTTGGTTCTCAGAACTGTGTGTGCTCTGTATCTGCTCTCATGTGTTTTTCAAGTTCGAGTCTCCCCACAGCCTCCTCCCCATTAGTGAGGCCCACCTAGGATTTTAACTAATATTAACACGTGAAATAAAAATTTACCACAGCCAGTCTTTCTCACGGGAAAAAGACAGTAACCCATTGCTGTCAAGTGCATTCAAGCCCACACTTGACCTCCTCAGGTTTCCGGGCTGTAAATCTACTGGAAGAGATTATCCACGCTCCATGCAGTAGGCGCTGGTGGACTTGAACCACAGACCTTTTGGCTAGTCCAACACGTAGCACACCATGACACCAGGGCTCCTTTTCATGACATCTCCAGCCTGGAGAACCTCATGCAGCAGTTTTACCGTGTCATATGGGGTCGCTGGAAGCTGGGATCAACTCCACATCCGTGGTTTTGACGACTTGGATTGTTTGCCAGTGGTTCTCAATTACAGGCCATTTTGCCCTTTGGGGAACTGTTGATAATATGTGAAAACAGTCACAATTTTTGGTTGTCAAAGATGGAGGTGGTTATTTTGACATATAGTGACGAGAGGCTGACCCTCCACAAGACACTGACACAGCTACTCTAGTGTGGGCTGTACCACGGCAGAGCTCCTGAGGACAGTGCAGGATCGAGCAAGGTTTCAATCTTTTGCTCTTAGGGCTGATGTGAGTCACAGTGGACTCAATGCCACCTACCAACACAAGGAGTAGACAGAGAACAGGTATGCTGTAATACACAGGGCAGCCCCCACTACAAAGACTGCTCTAGCATCAAGAAACTAGGACACTTATCTAGTGAAGTCTGCATCTTCAAATGAAATCGGTGCGTGGACAGAATCATGGACAGACGAACAAGCACAGATAGATAAGCATAGATCATGAACTCAAGATGAATTCCCGTGCCTTTAAAAAAACACACAAAAAAACACTCCTATTCCTTAAACTGCCAATTCCACATGTAGGGATTACTCCTGAAACAGTGCTCAGCCAAGTTCCCAAATGTCTCTTTGAGCATCTTCCTTGTACTCTGGTTTTTAATAACTGAAATCTGAAAGAGGAGTAAATGCCTGTCAGTTGGCTCTGGTTGTCACGGTATTATCCATGGAGAGAGATGCTGGACACCAAGAAGGGCTGCAGTACAAGGCTTATTGAATTGGAAACAAGGATGCAACCTGAAGTTAACAAATAAAAAGCAAATTACAAAATAACATATGGACTCTGATTCCAGTGTGAAAAAGAATCTACTGTAGATATATGTAAAGTATGAACTGTTCCTTCTTGCTTAGGGAGATTGTAGGCAATTTGGGGGTTTTTATGTTTACCTGTACTTGCTAAGTATTAATATATTGGATGTGTAATTTTTTTTATACTTCAGGTAGAAAGAATAATTTCCTGCTTTCTCTCTGTCTTACCCATTAGATCCCGCTATCTTTCTCCCTTTTATTTCAAACTTTTTTGCAAAAATTATCTCCCTTGTGTTTCTAATTCTGCAGCTATTACCTATTTCTGCCTCACCCATGGAATGACTCGTCATTAGAACCATGTGATAGTCCATTCTCCATGGATTATGAAGGGGTCCTAGTGCCAGAAAATAAAATAGGAAGGAAAAGCTTGCCTTGGTTATTGGCCCATCCTGTGTTTTGAAAGAAGAACCATAATCGGTGTTGTCTCTTCCTGTAGCTGACTGGGAACAAAATGACGACCCTCAACTTGGCCACCATATTCGGACCCAACCTGCTGCACAAGCAGAAGTCATCGGACAAAGAGTTCTCGGTCCAGAGTTCGGCTCGCGCTGAGGAGAGTACGGCCATCATCGCCGTAGTGCAGAAAATGATCGAGAATTATGAAACCTTGTTCACGGTAGGTGGCTCTTCTTGCGGGATGTGCTTTGTTGGGTGCATACTGAAAATCCAGTTCCTGCTGGCCGCTTGACTGAAATCATGGGAAGCTAAGCCGTTTCCGTAAGAATAGAAACTTTCCGAACCCATGATTTCACTATATGTTGTATGACTCGACTCGTTCTTCCTTTCAACAGACATGGCCCACATCACAAATGTCATGTTGTTGTCCTCTAAACAATGGTCAGCCTTTGGCGTCAGTTCATTCCTTATTCCTCATTCAGAGGTCACAGCTCTGACCTTTGCTCCAGATGTTGTCAAAGCCCTGTCTTTATTAGATCCTTCCTGAGGTCTCGTTGCGGTCTTATAACCATCCTCCTTCAAGAGCGGTCTTGACATCTTACCTCTTGCATGCAGGACCCTCCCATGCTGCTTTGTCACTTCTTCATACCTTGAACCTTGTTACTTTATTTCATGATCTTTATCTTACTCAACATTGTGGTATGGTCACTTGTGACTAATCCCCCTAGTAGACTATAAACTCATTTGAATCCTGGGCTTTGCCCCCATTATCTCCTCTCTGTATCCTCTGTACACTTTTGGAAGGCCCTCCGTCTGGCAGTCGTTCAATAAATATTTTTTTTAATTTGTATTGAATTACCAGTTCCTGTTTTCCTTCATGAAACCGCTTTGCTTGCTCCAACTTCCCTTGAAATACTGGAACAAATCCCAACTCTCATCTATTTCTGTTCCCCACTCAGATTACATGCCACAATTGACAGCAGCTCTCCCCATGTTGCGGCCCTCGTTTCTCGTGTCATTTGCTAACCGCTGTCACCTAGCCCACCTCCTCCACCCCTCCGTCAATCAGAGCCCTGGACAACTTCTCCAGCAGTGTCTGAGGCCTCCATGTTCAACCCCCTTCGTGTTTGACTGTCTTTCGTTAAGTGCCTTGCAGTTGATTTATTTGAATGCCTGTTATATACCAATCTCGAGAGCCAGTGAGTTGGAATCCTCTTCCTTTATGTCTCACCAGTGTGATTGGGAACATATGTTCCCACATCCAACACCACCAATGGCAGCTTCAGTGAAATGGGGTGATTCAGTTCAGACCCACTGGTTGTATCTGAGGAGGAAGATGTGTCAGTCTGCTCCTGTGAAGATTACAGCTGTGAAAACCCTATGGGACAATTCTCCTCTGTCCTGAAGCGGGTGACTGACCGACTCCGCAACAGTGGCTTTGGTTGGGGGTTTATTAACAAATGTATTAGTTAGGCCTCACCAGCTGACCCAAGTGTCAATACTCTAACCAAAGATACGCAGACATCTTACTGAGGAACATTTAGTCAAACCTTTGGTGGACAGCCTTGCAGGTGGGGGTTCCAGGATCCTAGATCCTTGTCCCATGAGGTTCTGCCATTTCTTAGGATTTTGTGGGACAAACCTAGAAGGGATTTCCATCATGAAATCCCATTGGCCAGAACTCACTGAGCGGCCACAAGTGATTGCAAGGGAGACTGAGAAGCATGTTCTGGCTGGAGAAAGAGAGAATGGACCAGTGACACTTTCACCAAGGGAGGGTGACCATGGCTTGCTTCCTCCTCGTTTTCCTTCTGGACCATTCTCTCTGCCCCATACACCACTCTTGAGAACTGTGCCTACAGTCGCTGGTGCTGTTTGCATTTCACACTTCAGCCAAAATTCTCATAATTAGTTACATATTTGGATGAGTCAAATGTCTGAACTTTCCAACATTTTCCTCAAGTTTTAAGTCACGTATCATCTTGCCAAGTAGTCTTGGCGTCATTTCATGCTCTCTGGCTTTTTGTTCCAACAAAACAAAATAAGCACCTCTCTTCAATCCTAGTTCTAGTCTCTAAATTCTATATGCTGAGCTAAATTCTCCTCCATCTCTATCCTTTGGCAAACCTTAAGGCATTTCTCATGACCTCTCTCAGATACTTCTTGCTGTCCTGGGAAGTGCAAGGGCTGCCATTTTGGCTGTGACGTTCTTCTTCCTGTTCCTAGCCTCCTCTGGTTTACTAAAAGTGGCAGTTGTTGCTGTTAGCTGCCACTAAGTCAACTGGGACTCAGGACGTGCCCTCACCTTACACAGTGGAGCCAAATACTACGCAGTTGGGCACCAGCCCCGTGATTGCTGTGGGTCTTGTCATTCCAATCCAGAGGGTTTTTATCAGCTGGTTTTGATAATAAACAACCAGGCCTATCTTCTGAATCTTGAGCCTCATGCTCTGTCAAAGCTTGTTCAGCACTTTTTGCGTGTTGCTAGCAATGTTCTAGTAACGTACATGTTACCACTCATAGGCTTGTAGACAGTAAGCTGCGATATTCTGCCTTTTCCAGCTTTTGTTAAATCTGTTCTTGTTCTGCAGTTGTCTGTAGGGATTGATGTCTAGGACCTTGGGTTGTAGCTTATGTTTGTGGACTCTACTTCTCAGTGAGATCGTCCCTGCACACCCCACCCCAAGTCTACAAACCTCACACTCCCTTTTCCCTTCCTGCCTGTGTTTCTCTCGTTAGAACTCACCGTTAATCTAGGGTTCTGGTATTTCCCTCCACTAGAATGTGAACTTCAGGATGAATTTTTGTCCATTTCTGTCTAGCTTCTCAACAGCATTTCTCCTGTGTCTGGCCCATGGTGGGAACACAATAAATAACGTTTGCGTTTATGAATGACTCTAGGGGAGTTGTGTTTCACATGAAAGCAACCGTAGAGGACAGAGTAGAGCTTTTATAATATTCGTGGAAGCAGGCTGCCTTATGTGTCTTCCGTAGAGCAGTTGGCTGGTGGTTTCGAACTACCAGCTTTTCCATTGGCAGCTGGGCATTTAATCCCCTGAATTATCAGGGTTCCTTCTTCCTCCTTAATTGTGAGAAGCTCTGGGTATTCAGGGTAACTTTTGAAAAGTAAGTTAGCCTTCAACAGAAGCAGGTGATTGGGAAAAGAAGCAGGTCCAACATCCCAGGAGCAACACAAAGAATACTTGCTCTGGAACCAGAAGTCTTTGTGATAGTCCTGCCTACTTCTGTTCTGCATTAGCTTTGGGACCTCACATCCTTAGATTTCCATTTCTTTAGTATTTAAGAGCGAGATTACAGTGAATGATGTCTGAGAGCACTTCTAGATCGAAAATGTGCCAAGTCCTTTGCACTAGTAAGAATTTCTCTTTTATTCTAGAAAGCACAGAAGAATGTTTGCTTTCGCTCGGCATATTTGGCATTTCGCAATCGTCTTGATTATACTAAGGGTGATGATTGGTTGCCAGCGCTGCTCTGAGCGGATGAGCAAACATGTCATCATGCATGTAGTTGGCATTTGGGGTTGATTTTTAGTGTTGTTTTGTTTCAAGAAGCTTCCCGAATGACAATGATATTTTAAGACGTGCAAAGAGAATGTTAGATAACACCTAAAGATAGTTAGCAGTTGTAGAACTTTAGAAACCTTGGAAGGTTTTACGACGAGCTTTGCCCTTTGATGTTAACACTAGAGAAGCTGAACTTGTCCTTGAAGTCAGAATGTACCTGGGAAGCAACGAGTGAATGGAAGAATTGATGGAAGGCATGTAGGAGCCCTTGGAGGCCTGGCAGGGGCCCATCATTGGTTCTGACAAGTCTCATGTTGTTCTCTTGCTGATGCTAAGACTGTCTCTCTCTAGGTGGCAGTATCTGAGTTAGTGGGCAAGGCTGGAGGGCAAGCTGGCTTTGTGTTATCATTGGAAGGAATATCAGGATTCAAGAGTTGATACCAGTTCAAGAGTTAGGCTAGGCTATATATATATATATGTGTGTGTGTATGTGTGTATATGTGTGTGTGTATATATATATATGTATATATATGTATGTATGTATATATTTGTATTGGTTGTTTGCTCTGCAGGGAATACTTGAACTGGACATAAATTGTAATAATAGCCATCACAATCACTTGACCCAAGGACCAGGGCAGCACATGAGGACAGTGGTTTTCCAACTCAAGTCTGCAGCAGTTAAAAGGAAACTGAGACAGCCAGATTCCTCGACTCTACTCCAGAGAGTCTCATTTAGTAGCAATTGGATAGGACCCAGGAATCATCAACAACTTTATGAATACCTCCAGGGGGTTTGATAAACAGGGCGCTCTGGTGGCTTAGTAGTAAGGAATTGCATTGCCAACCCATAGGCAGGCAATTCGAATCTACCAGCTGCTCCAGAGGGTAAAGATGGGCATTTCCCTTCTATAAGATTAAGAGCCTCAGAGAATCTGCTGGAGACTCAGCTGTCAGTAGGTTCCAAGTCACTCCTAACCACACCCACATGGTAAAAAGACCAGAGCTTTGCAATGACCAGATGCTAATCTCCACTCAGTCATTGAATCACTGTGTGATTTTGGCACTGGGCTTAACTTCACTAAGCCTTCTTTTACCTCTTGGGTAAATATGGGATGAGAGACTATCTACTTTGAAGGTCATTTTGAGAAATAATAATAATAATAATAACAGCAACAACATCAGGCACACGGCAAGAATTAGTGTACACTGTTTTCAACAGCTGATACTTTGTCCACTCTAGATCTTGACAACCTTATGTGCAGAGAACATGATGCTACCCAGTCCCGCATCATCCTCCCATCACTGGCATGTTCAGGTTCCTTCTTGTGCCTCTCCACCTTACTGGGCATCTCCCTTGCCCTCACTGGCACTCTACGTCACCAAGCATGGTGTCTTCCTTTCTCTATTGATCCCCCCTAATGATGTGTCCCATCATGTGTGAGTTGGACGACATTGTGATGTGACCCATCAGGTTTTCATTGGCTGATTTGCACGAGTAGATTGCCAAGCCTTTCATCCTGGTAGTCTAAGCTCTGCTGAAACCTGTCTGCTATGATTAACCCTGCTGGGATTTGAAATATCAGTGGCATAGCTTCCAACATCACAGCAACACGCAAGCCACCACAGTGCTATGACAGGAAGCCAGCTAGCCAGGGGCTTATATTAGACTTTCTATAATCTAAAGAGAGAAACA